TTTGTGTGGATTTTTTTTAACCTTCAGGTTTGTTTGTTTTTTCATATATCTCTTGACCTCCTGAGCAATTTCATATTTTTAGAAATTATTATTTAGTACTTGGGCTTTTTTTCAAATCTTGTGTATAACGACTGGGAGTATAAGAAATGCTTTTTCCTAATAAATGTTGGTATTTGTTTTCAAATGGCAGCTATTGTTGTAATAAATAGGTTTTGCAGGACTTTTTTTCACAGGACAGCACAGACTCAATGAAAACGTCTTTTTAACCCGCTGATTTAATAGCTTTTATTACCAACATTAGCAGCAACAACTTGATGTAATTGCTTTCTGTATGACTTTTCTGATTCGTATCAGGAACCTTGAGGTATTTGGTATGTGGAGGACTTCATGCTGGCTACGAAGCAAGCCCAAATCGTCACCCCTCCACTACTGTCTGTGGCAGTTAGCATGAGGTGCTTTTAATGACATGCTGCATTTGAATTATGGCAAAGCATAACTACTTTGGTCTCACTTACCTAAAGGGCATTGCTCCAGAAGTCTTGTGATATATTCAGATTCAGCTTTGCAAACATGAGCCATGCCGCCATGTTATTTTTAGAAAGAAGAGGCTTTCTCTGGCAACTCTTCCAAAGAAGCCATTCTTGTTCAGTCTTCATCTAGTTGAACTATTCTGAACTTCAACATTTAACATGGTAACTGAGGCCTGAATGGTTGAGACCAAAAAATTGCCCAAACTTTGGCTTTTATAGAGGTGCTTGCACTTGCTGATCAGTTAATCGAGAGCTTTTTATTAGCAGCACCTGGCTACAAATTAACCTCCTATTACATATGAAAGTAGTAAGGGTGTAGTTAGTTGGCACCGGATGGTGAGAGTTTTCTTTTTCAGATGACTGTACATTAGTTGGCTCTATTGGTGTAAAGGTTATAAATGATCATTTGTTGTCAAAACTCCACAATTTACTTCCAGTTACTCAGGATATCAATAACAAACAGACAACTATAGTTTACTGCATCTACCATCCCACTTATTCTGTTAATGTAAGAGTGGCCTGCAAAGGCTGCAAAAGCACAAGTGGCTTTCAGAAAAGATCTTAGTTTTTGTTTTACCAGCACAAGAGTGCGAGTTCCTCTCTGTACACTTTCGTGCAGATTTTCGAGGTATTTGGGAAATAGGCTGTTCCAGGATCTCAGGGAACTTGCCAGTTCTTCTGTGGATTTATGTCTCAATTTCTTTTGCCTGTTCTTGCAGTGACGGGCCAACGCAGAGATGTTAAGATCAGGGCTCATTGAAAGTCTTATTTAATATAACCAAAACAACCGGTGTGACACACAGTTTGTGTTTTTTAAACTGTCGGAAATAACAAAAAGCAAATACAGCATTG